GAGAGGGCAGAGAGAGATAGAGAGGGAGACCCAGAATATGAAGCAGGCTCCAGGCTCTGAGCTGTCAGCCCAGAGCCTGATACGGGGCTCGAACTCACAGACCGCGAGATCATGACCTGAGCCGAAGTTGGACGCTCAACTGACTGAGCCACCCAGGCGCCCCAAAATTTGTAATTTTCTTAAAACTCATGACAATGCTTTTGCTTGTAGAGATTAAGTAATTTACCTGTAAGGAACAGAACTGAGCCTCAGGCCAAACCTTTTCCCTTTTCACACAGAGGAGGGCCTTTCTGAAAGAAGGAAACTAAACAAACCTCAAAATGATTGATTCCAAAGAATTTGTATCATATTAATGTTGGGACTTACATTCCCTTTTAAAGCACATCAAAGATACCGTTTATTGATTCTTATATTTACACATCTAACACACTGCAAAGAAACTGGTTTACTATAGCAGTTATAATTCAGCATAATCTGAGTTAATTGGAATTAAGTGTAATCAGGTGTTCTGAGTAATTTTTTTTGATAGCTAAGAGTTATTTGCATTAAATAAACTTGGATATCAAGAAATCGTTTTATTAAAAACATTTTTTGAAAGCCTGCTGAATAGGTGCCCGACTAGGCGTAGATACCTTATATAAATTACCTCTAATCTCTAATCTAGGAGGACTAGATTTGGCACCAGGACATAGTTTGCCTATCCTTGCTCTAATGTTTATCTGCAAGATAAGTCTTACAATGCCCATTTTATGAACAAAGAAACTGTAAGTTGGGGAAGTTAAGAAGATTGCTCAAGGTCACACAGCCTGAAAGTGGCAGACTGGAATTCCTACTAGCTCCCTAACTCCAAATGCCCTGCTATTCCTAGCTTTATTTCTTCACATAAATTTAAAAAAATTTTTTTCCCAATGTTTATTTATTTTGAGAGAGAGAGAGAGAGAAAGAGAGAGAGAATGGGGGAGGGGCAGAGAGAGGGAGACACAGAATCAGAAGCAGGCTCCAGGCTCTGAGCAAGCTGTCAGCATAGAGCCCGACACGGGGCTCGAACTCACAAACCGTGAGATCACGTCCTGAGCCGAAGTTAGACACTTAGCTGACTGAGCCACCCAGGTGCCCCACTTTACATAAATTTTTAATTGAAGATTTTGTCCTGAGAAACACCATATTTAAAATGTGTACTAGATATGTCATTGGAGGTATCTTTATTGCTTTTGTGATAATGTATAATGATTATAAACAAAATTTAAATAAGGTAGAGAAAAGCCCGTTCAAAGCTATAGATGCTGTTAGGTCTAGTTGATTTATATTTTTGTTCAAGTCTTCTATTTCTTTGCTAATCTTTCTAGTTGTTCAATTCATTTTTGAAAGTAAAATTAATGTCTCCAATTCTTATTTTTAAACTGTTTTTTCTCAATTCCATCAATTTTTCTTCATGTATTTTGGAGCTCTATCATTAGGTATATGAACAGTTTTTCATAAAATGTTCTTCCCTTGGGGCACCTGGTGGCTCAATCAGTTGAGCATCTAACACTTGATTTCAACTCAGGTTATGATCCCAGGGTCATGGGACTGAGCCCCAAGATTCTCTCTCTCTATGCCTTTCCCCTACTCGTGTGCACACTCTCTCCCCAAGATAAAAAAAAAATTTTAACGTTTGTTTTAAAAAAATAAATAAATAGGGGCGCCTGGGTGGCTCAGTCGGTTAAGCGGCCAACTTCGGCTCAGGTCATGATCTCGCGGTCCGTGAGTTCGAGCCCTGCATCGGGCTCTGTGCTGACAGCTCAGAGCCTGGAGCCTGTTTCAGATTCTGTGTCTCCCTCTCTCTGACCCTCCCCCGTTCATGCTCTGTCTCTCTCTGTCTCAAAAATAAATAAACGTTAAAAAAAATAATAATAATAATAATAAATAAATAAATAAATAAATAAATAAATAAATAAATGTTTTTCTCTCAAATAAGTTATCTCTCTCTTTCCAATTAGTGATATAAACAATGTAACATAATCTGAATTTATGAATTAAGTGAAATTGGATATTCTGATGGAATTTTTTGACAGTCAAGATTTATTTTTGTTTAATATCCTTTTAAAAACATCTATCCTCCTACATAAAATATGCATTAAAATTTTTCTCTAAAAATTTAGTTTTTGTGTGTGCTACAGAAAGATACTAGTTTTTGTTGGCTAGCACCATAAGAAAGAAAATGCTATGAAAGAAGGTGATGGGTAACATTTGTGTCATATGACTGTATTAAGTACTTCCCTACACATTACCAGTGGAGTGCTGAGGTCAGCTTAGACTCATTTGGGGACACAATGTTAATAGCTTGAAATCGGCCATGGTTCTTACACCATAGAAAGTAAATGGTACAAAACAGATAATTCTGTGCCCTAAGGAGCCAGTTGTGAAACATTTACTAGCAAACCACTGCATTAACTCCAGTTTTCAGATAAAATGCAAAAACAAAAACTTCTAAACTTTAAAGAGTAGCAATATCTTCCCCCAAGTTACTCAGCTACTTAAGTGGTAGTTCAATTAATCAAACATAGTCCTTCTACCTGAAAATACCCTTTGTCCCTAAGTATTCCTATGCCCCACATGCATTCTCCTACCCTACACCAACAGATGGGCCTGAAGTGTTTTTGAATAGTTTCTACAAAATCGGTCATGAACATTTATTTCATAGGATTTACAACTCTTGTTAACATTAGTCTGTCATAGGAAAACATTTTTCCATGTACTGATATTTTAATGTTTAAGATTTTATTCTGCCAATAAGTTGATTTTCTGGAAGTCTTTTGGTCTTTTATTTTTTTTTTTTTTAAATTTTTTTTAACGTTTATTTATTTTTGAGACAGAGAGAGACAGAGCATGAATGGGGGAGGGGCAGAGAGAGAGGGAGACACAGAATCGGAAACAGGCTCCAGGCTCCGAGCCATCAGCTCAGAGCCCGACGCGGGGCTCGAACTCACAGACCGCGAGACCGTGACCCGGGTGAAGTCGGACGCTTAACCGACTGAGCCACCCAGGCGCCCCCTTTTGGTCTTTTAAAAATCATGATATTGGCTAGCCATTAAATTTCATGAAAATTATTCTGGCAGAAGCTAAAACTTTGGATAAAGAGATCAAACACACTAAGAAAAGTTTAGTCAGTGCAACACGATTTGATTGATAGGCTCACAAGACCACAGTGTGAATGAGGGGGTATGCCGTACTGTTTACACAGGTGTTTGTGAGCTTTCATGGAGCCTGGGAATAGTGAAGTCTGGTAGCAATATGCTAGAAAGTTAATTTCCTTCTGGATACTTCAAGGCACAAGCATCCTTCACTTCCTAGATTCATCATCCTATTGCCCTAATACCCCTGCCTATTGCCACAGGCTAAAGGAGTGCTTAGTCTTCTTCAAGCTTCCACCGCCTCCTCTGGACCAAAAGCTATCGCCTTTATTATTACATTTTCTCTCCTGTTGCTCTCCAGATTTTTCTTATGTAATTCTTCAGAGTCCAGGGTGAACACAGTGTTCTAATAAATGACTGACCTATGCTGAGAATGAAAGATGATATCCTATATATATATTTTAAACTCTGCCCTCCTTCATGTAGTCAATGATCACACTCACTTATAAGCATACTACTATACTTCTCAACTGTCCCAATTTTACTTTACTGCATATGTTTTGTATCTGAATGAACTATTCTATATTTGTTCCTAATGAATCCCACCCAATTCTTTTTGTCTCACTCCTCTTAACTAGTCACACACATTTAAAGTCTGCCTCCCCAAAATGTTAGTCAGTTTGGTGATGTTGGCAAATTTCATGAGTGTATTCAATTATGTACCTTTTTTTCTAAGTCATTAATAAAATGTTAAAAACTGACAACCAATTCTTGTGTAACACCCATCCTTTTTTTTTTTTTAAGTTTATTTATTTATTTTGAGAGAGAGAGAGAGAGAGAGAGAGAGCACAATCAGGGGAGGGGCAGAAAGAGACAGATAGAAAGAGAATCCCAAGTAGGCTCCACACTGCAAGCACAGAGCCTGATGTGGTTGTTGAACTCACAAACCATGAGATCAGGACCGGAGCCGAAACCAAGAGTCAGACACTCAATCGACTGAGCCACCCAGAAGCCCCCCAACCTTTTTAAAATTTTATTCGTTTATTTTCAGAGAGAGAAAGCAAGAGCAGGGGAGGAGCAGAGAGAAAGGGAGAGAGAGAATCCCAAGCAGGCGTCACACTGTCAGTGCAGAGCCTGACACAGGGCTCGAACTCACGAAACCGCGAAATCATGACCTGAGCTGAAACCAAGAGTCAGACACTTAACCGACTGAGCGACCCAGGCACCCCTTGTGTAACACCATTCTAAGTGCACATGTTCTAACAAAGGTCACTCTTTAGGGACCACATAGTGCATATGCCAGGGTGTTTAGACAGTGAAGATCCAACATGGAACTAAGTAACAAAGCTGAAAATTAAATCAAGACCTAGTAAATATAAGGGTTCCATATGGAGATCAAGGACCTTGAGCTGAGCACACTTTTGTATTTTAATTTTCCCTGACACTTTAGAAATTGTTAACTAAGAGTCTTAGTGTGTAATAAAACTTGTGTAATGGTATTTGACCTTTTCCCCAAGACTTCTAAAGATTTAGAAGTGAATTTGTCAGTCTTAATCTAGCTGACTTATTTTTGAGTCCTGGCTCCTTCTATAATTCTTATTTGCAAAATAGGGACTGTCGTGTCTCCTTCACAGGCTGTTGTAAAACTTCAGTGAGATGTCCTCTGTAAGAGTGTTTAGCACAATGTGCAGTACATGATAAGCGCTAAATAAATGGTTGTTACTATTAATGCTAAAGCAGCTGCTATTTTTGAGCACTTCTAATGGATCAGATGCTACAAAGTCCTTTATGTTATGAATCCTGTGGTAATTTATCATTTGTTTAGCACCAAACTAAAGCTAAAGTTTCAGGAAATGTTTTGTTGCTAAAGACTGCTTCTGATTTCAGTTTGGGACCCATTCTGGAACCTGAGGAAGTGGTAGACAAGCTGATGGATGGGATCCTCACTGAACAGAAAATGATTTTTATTCCATCTTCTATATCCTTGTTAACAGTACTGGAAAGGTAAGTGACAGTTATGTCTATCAGCATTATAAACAAAGATTTATGTGTTATATATTTTCACTCAGATTTAAAACCAGACATTTGATAAAGTACAATTAAGTGGAATTAAAGTAATAAAAATGATAGGCTTAAATAATCCCTCAGTGTGTTTTTTTTAAGTTTATTTATTTTTTAAAGAGAGTGTGAACAGGGGAGGGGGCAGAGAGTGAGGGAGAGAATCTGAAGCAGGCTCTGCACAGCCAGTGCAGAGCTGGATGTGGGGCTCCAGCTCACGAAACTGTGAGATCATGACCTGAGCCAAAACCAAGAGCCAGATGCTTAATCAACTGAGCTATCTGAACCCCAGTCCCTCAGTTTTTAAAACCACATTTGTTAATCCTTGAAGCAAAGTTTATACAGCAGTTGGGTAAATGAACTGAATAATTTCCACAAGTTTTAAAGTTTGGGTTTTTTTTTTTTTTTTTAGAGAAGTGTGTATATTTCTAGAAGTCTTGTCTCATAAATGAATGACTATAAAGAAGGATAGGTGTTTTTTTGTTTCTTTAAAAAAACATTTTTTTAATGTTTATTTTTGAGAGAGAGAGACAGAGAGACAGAGCTCAAGCAGGGGAGGGGCAGAGAGAGGGAGATACAGAATCTGAAGCAGGCTCCAGGCTCTGAGCTGTCAGCACAGAGCCCAACAGCGGGGCTCAAACTCATTAGCCATAAGATTATGACCTGAGCCAAAGTCCAACATTGAACTGACTGAGCCACCCAGGCACCCCAAAGAAGGATAGTTTTTTAAGCATTGTTACATAATAGAATCATAGGACAACCATATTAGAGATTTAGGTTTTAAATATTCATTTAAATATACAACAGATAATCATTGAGCTCTTGTTTTGTACAAATCATACCGAACCATAGAAATTGTTAAATAATCTTTTACAACTTTAAAGATCCTTGAGCCTTGCTACTTCCACGGACCAGCAACATCAGCACCACCTAGGAGTTTGTTAGAAATACAGACTCTCAAAAAAAATGAAAAAGAAAAAAAGGAAGAAAGAAAAAAAGGAAGAAAGAAAGAAAAGAAAGAAAGAAAGAAAGAAAAGAAAGAAAGAAAGAAAGAAAGAAAGAAAGAAAGAAAGAAAGAAAGAAAGAAAGAAAGAAAGAAAGACTCTCTTGGTGTCATGAACTAGAATTTGCATTTTAGTAAGATCTGCCATGTAGTTGATCTGAATACATATTCAAATTTGAGAAGTACTACTTTAGAGCAGTAGCTCTCAGCTTTGGTCACATTGGAATTCGCTTAGGAGTTTTCAAAATACTAACGCCTGAGACCTACTCCCCAAGACTGATGTCATTGGTCTGGAGTGTGGTCTGGTCTCTGAGAGATACAACTTCCCCAGTAATTCTGATGTACAGCCAAGATTGGAAACCACTGGTATAACCACCTTCCTCATAACACATTGCCTCATTACTCATATGTTAACACTGTGTGATAGCGAGGCTGATCCAGGTAGTGAGGGGAAGGTGAAGAGATGGCTTAGGTTAAAGGAAGAGAGGGAGGGAGGAAGGAAGGGAGGGAAGAGAGAAGAGAGAGGAAGGAAGGGAGGAAGCCTCTTGATCTTTGTCCCTACAGTCAGGCTTCTGCAACATGGTGGGGCATCAGGATCACTTAGGAAGATAATTTTAAAAATATAGATTCTTGGATGTCATCCCTAGAGGCTTTAATATTGGATGTTTTGGTTGGGACCCAGACATCTGTATTTTAACAGGCAACTGCCACAGGCAGTTGGTTGAAAGATCATACTTTGAGAATTACTGACCTAGGAACTGAAAACATTTCAAGAGATCAAAAGCATACACGACACATGTCAGGCTTTTTAGCCCCTTCTACAAGGAATTATGGTTGAACATACCTTAGAGGTTTAGATAATGAAACTCAAGGAGATCACCAAGGATCTCCTTGGTGAGTAACTAAGTTAAAACCTGTGAAGTGTTGAGCATTTTGCTTGTTACATTTCATAAGTAAGCACTCAGTGATTATAGTCCTTTAGAATGTAAGTCTATGAGGGAAGGAAATTTGCCTGTTTTTCATCACTGTATGTAGCCCCTGTACTTTGGAGAGTTGATGCACACATAGGGGGCACCAAAATGTTTGTTGATTGAATAAATTAATTCTATTTCCTAGACCTTTAGCATAGAGGCACAAAGTTTGTGCTCTGGGGTTAGATGAAGCTGTGTTTGTGACTTGCTCACACACGAACACAGATGAGTTGTTTATTTTTATTTATTTATTTTCATATATGAAATTTATTGTCAAATTGGTTTCCATACAACACCCAGTGCTCATCCCAAAAGATGCCCTCCTCAATACCCATCACCCACCCTCTCCTCCCTCCCACCCCCCATCTACCCTCAGTTTGTTCTCAGTTTTTAAGAGTCTCTTATGCTTTGGCTCTCTCCCACTCTAACCTCTTTTTTTTTTTCCTTCCCCTCCCCCATGGGTTTCTGTTAAGTTTCTCAGGATCCACATAAGAGTGAAAACATATGGTATCTGTCTTTCTCTGTATGGCTTATTTCACTTAGCATCACACTCTCCAGTTCCATCCACATTGCCACAAAAGGCCATATTTCATTCTTGCTCATTGCCACGTAGTACTCCATTGTGTATATAAACCACAATTTCTTTATCCATTAGATGAGTTGTTTAATTTCTTTGAAGCTGTGTCGTCATCTGTCACATGGAGACAGTAAGGCTTTGTAGGACTGTGAGGAATAAATAAAATGATGCATTTGGAGTATTCAATAAAAGTTATATACAACTGTTATTATTATAATTAACACTATTATTATCATTGCCCTGATTTTTCTCTGACTGTGAGTGTTGAGTGCTCAATTGCCAAGCTTTATTTTAATGCCATCTGGTCAGATGTCTGTATATACAGTTGACCCTGAACAACATGGGTTTGAACTTTAGGGGTCTACTTATAGGTGGATTTTTTATAAGTACAGTACAGTATTATAAGTGTATTTTCTCCTTTGATTTCCTTAATAACATTTCCTTTACCCTGATTTACTTTATTATAAGAATATAGTATAGAATACAAATAACATATAAAGCATGTGCTAATTGACTGTTTATGTTATCAGGAAGGCTTCCAGTCAACAGTAGACTATTAGTAGTTAAGTTTTGGGGGAGTCAAAAGATACATGTGTGTTGTTCAAGGGTCAACTATAGTTACACTGATTCATATATTCTGTTTAGATCCCCTCAGACTCATTGGATTGTGACAAGTTCCTCAATATTCTTAAATACAGGCATATCTCATTCTATTGCCTTTTACTGTACTCTCAGATGTATTTTTAACAAATTGAAGGTTTGTGATAATCCTACATCAAGCAAGTCTACCAGCATCATTTTTCCAACACCATTTCCTGACTTCATGTCTCTGTGTCACTCACAATATTTCAGACTTTTTCAAGATTATATTTGTTACAGTGATCTGTGATCAGTGATTTCAACTTGCTGAAAGCTCAGATGATGGTTAGTGCTTTTTAGCAATAAAGTATTTTTTAATTAAGGCGTATAAAATTGTTTTAGACATAATGCTATTGCACCTTAATAGACCACAGTATAGTGTAAACGTCATGTTTGTATGCACTGGAAACCCAAAAAATTCATTTGACTCGCTTTATTGTGATATTCGCTTTATTGCTGTATTTTGGAACAAGATCTGCAATATCTCCGAGGTATGCCTATATAGGGTGGGAAGAAAAATTTGGACCTACCACGTATCCATCATGCACAAAATAGAATATTTAAAGTATTTTATATTAACACATTGATGTTTCACAAGAACAGTGTGGAGTAGGTGTTGTTTCCATTTTCATGTGAGGAGTTTAAACTCAAAAGTTAAATAATTTGTTCAGCATTATGCTCAAAACCAAGTTCATTCTCTGCACTTTCACTTAGCAGTTCTGTTTCTTTAGTCTCTTAGTGGAGCATTTGAGCAATATTTTGGATTACAAAGTGTAAAAGTAGTTCCTATTCTCACTTCCTTCCCAGTGTGACGTTTCTTGTTTCAAAAGTCTTTAACATCTCAGCTCTTCAGTTCTACACACCTCTTCTCTGGATCTTCTGAAAAATACAGGAGCATATTTATTTCAAAAACTAAATATTTCAAGTGACTCCTACCCTAAAAGGTGGTTAAACCTCCTTCCTTTCCCTTTTGAAACCAAAATGGATTTAATTGAAAAGAACATATAGTAGTGACTCAGAGTTAAAGTTCTTAATCTTGTTTAAGATGATACATGATAAAGGATACACCCATACTGGCAGATTATAGATGTATAGTATCTCTACTGATTATGAAACTGCTGATGACAAGAACTTGCTATTAATATGGTACTGCTTTCCTTCTAATTGTTAAATTAGCTGTCACAGCAGCACGTACATTCACTAGAAAATAGTCCAGAGAAGTAAGAGACAAATCATATCTTCAGTTTTCAGACAAGGCTTGTTTGCACATATTTATCCAAGGCTTGGAAGCCTCCACCCTAAAGGTATTTCCATAACCGGCTGTGGATGAGAAAACAGCATTATAATGGGGGACTTTAGAAATATTCATTATTGGGGTGCCTGGCTGGCTCAGTCAGTAGAGCATGTGACTCTTGATCTCAGGGTCATAAGTATAAGCCCCACATTGGGCATGAAGCCTACAAAAAAAAAAATGTATGTTCATTTTTAGGTGGGGACTAGGGCAATGGGGCTAAACTCTGGTTTTTTAAGAAATATCCAAAAAATTTCCTTATTCGTAAATGAAGAAGAGAAAGAAAAAAGAGAGAGAGAGGAAGCCCAACACAATAGTTTCTGTCTTTTATATGCCTGTTCCACTTTACTCTCATTTTATCACAGGGCTCCCTGACTGTATTCCAGTATGATTTCTACATTGCATATAGCTGCCTAATCATAGAACATATATTAAAAAGTTATTTCTCTCATGCAAAAAAAAAGATGATACATGATAGACATAAGTATTTTAAAAGAATATATTTTACAAGTGCATTTAATATTAATTTCCTAATTATTTTCATGTATCTTTTTTTTAGGATCCTTCCTGAGCGTTTCCTGGCATTTTTAAAACGAAAGATCGATATTAGGTTTGATGCAGTTGTTGGATATAAAACTAAAGGACAATAAGTTCTACATGGGCTGCATTCTACATTTAGTTGATGTAAATATATACCTTAAAAATGCCTGCTTTCCAAAACATCATTATATTTAAGTAACATAACTTAAATTCTTCTTCATACGTTAGCCATAGATAAATAAAACTGATTTAGCAGGTCTCAGTGGGTTTCATCTAATATTCACCAGAATTTTAACGTTTAGACTTCTGCTTTTCCTAATTATCTTTTTTTCTTCAGTATCCTCTTTTGAGGCCCTGGCAGTGCACATTTATTACCACCTCTCCTCTAGCTGAAAGCTAATTTCATATAATACAAAGAGGGGAATATCTTAGGAATTGACCTCACAGAAAATGGAGAAAAGGAACAAAAATAATTTTATAATAATTTCTAAGAGTTTGTGGCTTGTGAAGGCTTTGCAAAATTTGTATTATAAATATGTAAGATATAGTGGTATTTCTAATTTCACTTAAGTTTTATATAATTCACGTGTTTCCTTTTCTATTCTCCATAAAAACAGAAACTTCAGGCTCTCTAAATTTAATGAAGAACTGTATCTAATGGCATTTCACAGTGAGTTTCATGTGATGTAAGAAATACTGCTCAAACATTTCATCCTGCACATTACCACACTGTTTCATTCCAAAGCCAAACATTTCAGCTCAAGGAAACTAGAGATGGACACATCTTGCAGGTATAGAGGCACCATTGGGATTTGAGGCAGAGAATTAAGAGAGTGTACCCATAGTGGCAACAATAAACAAATCAAACTTAAACTTTTGTCTCTGTCTTTTTGTCTTGAAAAGAAAGCTTGATTTATCCTTCAAATTAAAGGAAAATGCATTATATAATCAAAGATCTTTTTTTATTTTTTTAATATCTGGAAATTTCTTGGATGCAAGTGAGGCTCAGTGAGATGAGAATATGAATTGAAAAAATATTCAGGTTTGTTGGATTTCTATTGAAGAAAAATATTTCCAAGACTGTGTTAATATACACAAAGTAAAGAACTTTGATCCTTCCATCAGAAGGTTCATACTTAGAAAACATATAACTCAGAATCACTGACCCTGGTGAAATGTAGGTAAATGAGTCACATTTAGGTACAGAAATTTCATGGTAAAAGATCTTGATTCTGTTTCTAAACAGAAACATACTTACTTATTTTTACTTTTTTAACTTTTAAAAAAAGTTTATTTGTTTTGAGAGAGAGAAAGAGAGCAGGGGAGGGGCAGAGAGGGAGAGAGAGAATCCGAAGCAGGCTCTGCATCGCCAGCACAAAGCCCGACGCGAGGCTCGAACTCACGAACCATGAGATCATGACTTGAGCCAAAATCAAAAGTCAGACACCTAACTGACTGAGTCCCCCAGACTCCCCAAAACTTATATTTATTTAATATGTGTCTGGTACTTTCCTAAACAGTTGGCTTATTGAACAATTAAGTTATGTCATCAGTGCCACTGCAGATGATAAGGATCATAAGATAATCAGCTTAAGGAAGGTTATTATACTGTAGATTCTATAATATATGAAAATGTTTCACAGCAGGTATTCCTGCAATAATGTTCTCCCTGCCCATCAACTACCTTCTAATACAGAGAATCCAAATACAATTGCTGTCAGAGTACATTCTACATTCAGTTGATGTAAATACATATCTGAGTCAAAAATGCCTCCTTCAAAAACATTGTCACATTTAAATAACATAACTTAGACTCTTCTCCAACATTAGCCATGCTCTGGTAGCACTCTACTGGAGTACCTGTGAATAACCACAGAATTTATAGATTTACCTAAACCCTGTCCTGTTAGGTGAGAGTGACACTAGAAGGTTGGAGAGTCTCTTCCAGTCAGCTTGGGACTCATTTTGAAATACATGTAGTGTTTATTATTTTGATTAAGTTATACCTGCTCCAGCTTGCCAAGAATAATGAAGTAGGTGAGGAGGAAACACAGTGAAACTTCAGTAAGGTGACTGAGGCCCCAAGATTACTGATGACTTTCCTCTTTTCACAATAAACATGTTTACCTCTTTTTTTAAATTTGTTGTTAGTATTTATTTATTTTTGACAAAGAGAGAGAGAGAGAGAGCCAGAGCATGGGTGGGGGAGGGGCAGAGACAGAGGGAGACCCAGAATTCGAAGCAGGCTCTAGGCTCTGAGCTGTCAGCACAGAGCCCGACGTGGGGCCCGAACTCACAGACTGCGAGATCATGACCTGAGCCGAAGTCGGACACTCAACCGACTGAGCCACCCAGGCACCCCAAAACATGTTTACCTCTTAACACACTTGTCTGAAATTAACACTTGGAAGGATTCTGGCATTAACCATTATGAGAAATAAGTACTACTTCTTGGATAGTACGCTGACAGAATGGTAATCAGTCCTTTTCATGAATGTTAACCATATGCTAGGCACACTTGGCCATTTAATCTTCCAGCAATTCTGTGTAGTAGGCGTCGAAGGCATTGCTGAAATTCCTGTAGCAAGCAATAACTCAGAACCTTAGAGGCTGACGCCCTAACTCTGTTGAAAGGTTAATGAATGCTGTAGGAGTTCTGGGTTTTTGTTCTCTGCCTCCCCCCTCCTTTTTTTTTTCTTTTTTTTTTTCTTGTTGCTGTTGTTAAAAAAAAGCTTGTTCTGATTCACTAACATCAGGCAATTACTGCTTTGACTCTAAGTCTGAAAACTTTTAACTGTTATTTGAATGAATGAATTCTAACTCTGAACCCACGTCCTAACAGTTTAGTGGGAAAACTCATCTCAACCACCAATAGGGCCACTTCTGAGAGTCACACCAAAATCAAAGAGGCTTACATTGCCTTGGGGTAAACAGGAAAGACTTCTCTAACTGTCAACTATCATGGTCCTCTGTGGTCCTAATATAGGACCTTGATAACAGACGGCTCTCTCTTTTGTGGGGTACAGAAATCCTGACTGTTGGTAAGGAACTAACACTCCCTGGAGACACCATAAAGTCTTCCTGAGCCCTTGCTATCACCCTGGAGCCCTGCTATGGGACAACAAGGACTCACTGGCCTCTCCTTATTCCCTTTGAGAATATTCCCATTCTTGCCTTCAGAAGCACTCTTCCCTGTCCCTGTCCCCATGCTACCATTCTCATGCCAGAAATCTATTCTTTTTAATGGAAATAAGGATTAGAAAGAGTAAGGAATCAAGCCAAGGAAAAGGGTTAAAATTGACCCTTAGTAGGTTGTCAACATCAACTTGGCTAGCAAGTAAATAGCTAATGAGGATTTTACTGTGGGGGAGGGGAGCAATTATTAAGAGCCTCCTCTCCCAGGCTGGGCAATAGACTTACTCCCTTGAAGAATTCTGGGTGGTAGACATCATTATTCCCATTTCATAGATGAGGTAGCCCAAAGGCATTCACCAAACTTACCTGAAATCACACTGCTACTCAGAGGTCAAGCTGAGGATTTGAGCCCAAGTTTGCTGACTCATCCTACAACCTCAGTGGAATTCCTGGATAGTTGAGCCATCACCCTAAGCCCCCTCTGCTTCCTTTTACTCAAGCTCCCCTTGGTATTCAGACAATATTCCATAATTAGCCAATGAAAATCTCCAATGGGAATTGAAGCTGTTTCATCTAGGAATTATTTTAAGGTAGAATGAAATCCTAAATCCTAGTTGCTCAAGTATTCTACCTAAAAAAAAAACAAAAACAAAAACAAAAAACCTAGCCTGGACTGACCCAATATCGCAACAGTCTAAAGTTTCCTGAAATCAAAAAGCTGAGTCTGAAAATACTGGTACAGTCTTAATCTGCACTGGCCATCACATCCTTCCCAAAAGTAGATAGAAATTCCCGGTACACTTTAGAGCCAATCTGACCACTCCAGTAGTTTTTTGTTTTGTTTTGTTTTCCTTTTTCTTTCCCTCTTTTTTTTTTTTTTTTAATTGGTCTAGGGATGACTGGACAATCTCAGGATGAGAGAGATGTGCCTTTTACTTTCATAGACTTCCCTATAATTGCGGGTGGCCTCGTATAGTAATTCAAGCTAGCATCTTCTCTACACCATCTGTGTTCCCCAACAGAAAATGCCACATCTAACAAGTGTCCAAGCTAAAAACCTGGAATTACACCTGCCTCCTTTTGTTCACCTTCATCCCTCATCTCAGAAAAATCCTCTAGTCCTTGGCACACACGTTAAATATTGGTCACCATTCCCACACTTATATTTCCAGCCTGAATCTCTCCTCTGAATGCCACACACATATGCAAATACCTTCTTGATATCTCTGCCTGTATGACCTGCAGGCATTTCAACGCAATATTTCTGAAACTGAGATTTTCGTGTTATCCAAAAACTGTTCCAAACCGCATTATTCCAGTTGCTCAGGTCAAAAAATGTAGTGTCATCCTTGATTCCTCTCTCTCACTCCCCACATTCATTACAAAAACAATTCTGTTTGCTCTACCTTGAAAATATATACGGGGGTGCCTGGGTTGCTCAGTCGGTCAAGTGTTCAACTCTTGATTTCAACTTAGGTCATGATCTCATGGTTCATGAGTTCCAGCTGTGTCAGGCTCCGTACCGACAGCGGAGCCTGCTTGGGATGCTGTGTCTCCCTCCATCTCTGCCCCTCCCTTGCTCTCTCTCTCTCTCTCTCTCTCAAAAATAGACAAATAAACAGCAGATATATCTATATCTATATCTATATCTATATCTATATCTATATCTATATC